CAAGAATTATTGACATTGGCATTATTTAATTTTATAAAAAATGGTTGTTGGACAATTTTGTATTAATTACTTTAGAATTGTGAATAAATTGTTAAATTTTAAGTTACAGACAAAAAGTTATTCAAATTTTTTTAATGTTTTGATGAAGTTGAATAAGAATTACAGAATAAACAAATAAATAAGTCAGAATAATTAGAAAGTATAATTATATTCTATAATTAGGATTTTAGAAATACATGGAAATATGGAAAGATGTTAAGGGGAGATTCTAGGGTGTTCATATTTAATAGTTAAAATAAATAATTGGGATTACTTTTTAATTATTAAATTCAGCTAGTAAAGTAATTTATGGAATAAGTAAAGAAGAATTTATAGATTTATTTAAAAAAACTAGTTGGTCATTTATTTTAGAGTTTTAAGTTTAACTTGAAAAACGAGATTTTCGTTTGGATATCTATGCTTTTAATTAGTACAAACAGTAACTTGAATACATGCCATTAATTGATTTAGAAAAATGCATTTTTATTTGATAATCTTAAATTTTTATTAATAAAATTTACATCAGAATAGAATAACATATAAATTTATTAAATTTAATCTAATCTCAATACTAATCATTCAACCTTTAATAACATCCTCATAATTTTATATACACTAGCTTCAATCATGCTTGATACAGTGAATATACCTCCAATTACAGCACACACTTAAACTATGAAATGCAAAATGTCTTCTTTTGTTTACCAATAAGTAACAGTTGTTGGAGCAAAATCATATCTTAATATTAATAATAATAATAAATACCTTAATTGAACATTACCATAATGATGTGATCTCACTTCATTATGATTAGCTGTATACTAGTAAACTGAATAGATTTATTTATTTAACAATGTATAATGAGTTGGAATAATATTAATAAAGTGTTCATGTTACATCTAAAATATTTAATTATTAATACTGATTAACTAGCTAAATCATTTTTTTTAATTCTTTATGTGCCACTCAAACTTTCTAATTAACCTTATTAAAACATACTCTTGACTTTTTTAAGAGCATTTTCATCACCAAAAGAAAATGATATAAATTTATGAGAATAATCTAATGGAAGATTTATATTTCCAACTTCACTAATGTAAGAATGAGATCTATGAGGACCAAATGATATTTTCCCTCTAACTCTATTAACTTTTAAATTTCCAACAACTTCACATCCTTATTTTTCATTAATTGCTTTTCTGGCATCTTCAGTAACAACCCAATTATTATTATTTCTAATCTATTATATTAATGTCATTATTACATATTCATTAATTCTACTTTCACTTTAATCAAGTCTGTAATATTTTAATTCAATGAATTATTATGGTAAGCTCTATCCCATTGCATCTTATTAATCTATTTCTAAAAAGTCACATGGAGCCTTTACAAATTTAATGTCTAAATTCACTTAAACTCTATCTTTTGATAATTATTGATCCACAATGATTTCTGATTGAACATCTATTGTAATATACTCCTAAACAAATAATTGCAATTATCCATTACAATCACTTCACTCATGATCATTAATCCCAGCAATATCAAAGTTATAATTGAAACTACAGCACCTGAACTTGTAGGCTCTGCCAATCCTTTTGGAATTTTACCATATAAATCTATTGCTTTTAATAATTTCATTAAATTATTAATATCATTGAAGGTGATACATATTAATATTTCCGGGAATTTAGAAACTTGAGTGGAAATCATTTTTATACAATCAGGATTGTAAAAACAAAAATTAAAATGCACAACATCATTTAATTCATTTTAGTTTTCATAAGTCATAAATGTTCTCCTTCTTTATTATTATAATAAAATACTTGAGTAAAAGCATTCTATTAATGCTATTAGTAAAATCATTAAGAATAACAACATTTATTATTGTAATGAACTTTCGAGTCAAATAATTATTTTTTGTGAATAATTGCAATTAGTTTAATTAAAAAAAAGACTTATAATAAAGTAATATTGAAGCACTATCATTTTATATAATTATAGTTAATAAATAAGACTAGAATGTATAGAATTTCAATTTAGAAATATTATATTCATATAAAAAAATATAAATTCTATTTTTGACTGCTTTATTCTATAAATTCTAAATGATAAGTTATAAGTTATAAGTTTTCTTTTTTTTATTTTGTTAATAATATAAGAATTCAATTTCAAGTTTTGAGATATATTATTATTAAATATATAAAATGATTAGTTCTATTGTGTTTATTAATCACAAGGGAGAAATCCTTATATATAGAGTTTATAAGGATGACATAACAAGAAGTGAGACTACATAATTCTGTGCTAAAATTGTGGCCACTAAAGAAAATAAAGAATGCCCAATTATCAATATTGATGGTAAATTAATAATATTTAAAAATTTTAGGAACATCATTTATCCATATTACTATTAAGGACATTGTAGTTTTAGCCACAACAAAAGTAAATGTAAATGTAGCTATGACCTTACAATTTCTTTATTAATTAGTACCATAAAAATATTAATATCTAGGTTAAAGTATGCAGAGCTTATTTTGGTGGAGAGTTTGATGAAAATTGTATTAAAAAACATTTTGTACTTATTTATGAAATTCTGGATGAAGTAATGGATTATGGTGTTCCTTAAATAGCTGATGCAGATCTTTTGAAAAAAGTATCTAACTTATTACTAGAATTTAATAGTATATTTAAGAAGGAGGATTAAAGCCAGAGTTAATGAATGATGTAGAGAAATTAAAATAATTAACATCATAAGCAACAGGAGCCACTTCTTGGAGACCACCCAATCTTGTATATAGAAAGAATGAAGTTTATTTAGATGTCATAGAGAGTGTGAATGTGTTGATGTCTGTAAAAGGAACAATTTTGAAAGCAGATGTAGCTGGATCAATTTAAGTAAAATGTTTATTGTCTGGGATGCCAGAATGTAAATTTGGAATGAATGATAAATTATTAATGTAGAGAGAGCCACGTAAACCTGGTCAAACAACAACAGATAAAGGTATAACAATTGATGATCTTAAATTCCATCAATGTGTGAAATTACCTAAATTTGATAAAGAAAGAGCAATAACATTTATTCCACCTGATGGTCAATTTGAGTTAATGACTTATAGAATCACTGAAAATATAAATTTACCTTTCAAAATTATGCCAGTATATAATGAATTAGGAAAAAACAAATTAGAGATTAGAGTAAAAGTATTTAAATTTTATAATATTTTTGTAAGATTAAATCAATTTTTGAAAAGAATCTATTTGCTACAAATTTAGCTATCAAAATTCCAGTACCTAAAAATACAGCAAATGTTAATACTAATTCAGCTATTGGAAAAGCAAAACATGAACCAGATTAATAAGGAGTGATTTGGAGAATAAAAAAATATCCTGGAGATTTTGAAGCTTTATTACGTTGTGAAATTGATTTAGGTTAAACAACAAATTAATAACCTTGGATTAAACCACCTATTTCAATGGAATTTTAAGTTCCTATGTTTACAGCAAGTGGATTAAGAGTTAGATTTTTAAGAATTTATGAAAAAGCAGGATATAAACCAACAAAATGGATTAGATATATTACAAAAGCTGGTGAGTATTTACATAGATTGTGATAATAAAATAATCCAAAATATATTTATCAATTATCATGATGTGTCTTATATCTTATGTTACGAGCCTTACTTTAATATTTCAAAGTTTAATAAGATTGATATATTTTATGAGCTTGTTTGATATTGGGAGTATGTGGTCTTTACTTAATCTATAACTGTTTTTTAGGTTCTGCTAATCTATCTTATTATTTAGATGAACATGCACTATTAATCCTTAAAGGACCTGTTTTTGAATAATTTCTGAGTTATCTTTGAAATTAAATCTCAACATTATCCCACCAATTACATGGATTACATTATCCACCATCATTTACAATCACAAAATAATCTCTTCCAGTTCCATCTCCCCAATACTTAGTAGTTTTTATAGGTATTTAAGGAGGTAGATTACCAGAACGTCTTAAAGTAACATTTGATTTAGTTAGATAATGCATCTTCTCTAAGTCATGACTTGCTTAAGGAGCTATTTAAGATTGCAGAATCTGATTCATTTATCCACCATTAAACTTGCTTATGTAGGAATCCCTTCAATTCAGTCATGTTACATACCTCCCTGTGCCATCATTATGATAATTGTTCACTTTTGGCTACAATCGACAATATACTTAGCGAGCTGTCATTATAATAATTAATTAATCATTTCTACAATTCTCTTAATAAATGTGCTAAATAGATCAATGGATTAAATTCTAAAGCCTCTCTTTATTACTTCATTTAATGTTTTAAATGCTATAATTCTTATTTATCAGGTGCTTCTTCATCATCTTGATCTTCTTGAATTTGATTCAATGCAAGATTTATTTCCTTTTTCATTTCTTGAGGACTCAGATCATCTATGGAAATTCCTGTAGGAGCTTGTATTTAGTTATTAATTGGAAATATCGATTCTTCGTTTTTTATAAGCTATTAACTCATTCCACCAAAATCATCATTCTCAGCAGAACCCTAGGATGAGGATTCATATGCAGATCCTAATTCATTTTTCAATCTTTATTTCTCTACTTTTTTTTATTCAATTCGATCAAATATTTTTATTTTTTTCAATCTTTCTTAATGCTTTCTTACTTCTTCTGTCTTTACCACATGATCTATTAGTTATACAAGAGCAGTATGAAGTTTTGGATATACTTAATTTTCTAAGTATTCTATTTCTTGCATTGAACTAATTGAATTTGTTAACTACATTAATTAATTTTACTATTTTGATAATCATTAATTCTAATTACGTATTACATAAATAAATATATTATTTTCATATTATATTAAATTATCTTTATATTTTTAAAATAAATTGACAATGTATGTTAGTTCATCGAGAAAATCGTTTTTAATTTTTATTTAAAAATAATGAAATCCTATTTGATAGCCTGTCTATTACTAAGTGTCTTAAGTGTTGAGATTACTCTTAATAATGCAATAACAACTTAAGCTTTAGAAAAATTGAAAGAATCTTCATGGGCTTCATTTATTGTTGAATTTGCTTAAGTTGAATTATCTACAGGTGGAGCCTTGTCTGAATTAGTAGAAACTATTAATCAATTGATTGAATAATTACAAGAAGAACTCTAAGATATTCATAATACATATTCAAGAAGAACTGATGAACATAATCGAGATGTAACTAGACTAGAATAAGAAATCTAAGATGCTGCTAAAGGTAATAATAAAATATTATATAGATATCTTTACTGGATAAGATTTTATTGATAATGTTCTAATACCATAAAAGGAAAGATTCCAATAATCTTTGGTTTAATTGAAAATTAATATTGAAGAAAATAGAAGAGTATTAGATGGAGAAATTATTAACAGAAAGAGATAACATGAATAATTCTTATCTAATATTGCTGAATTAAATGAAGCTATTGGTGCTGTTGATGAATCACTTGGATTATTATCATAAATTTCTAATCCATCACTTATTTAATTCAAGAGAGTTTAGACTAATTTAGGTAGAATTCAATCATCATTTTAAAATCGCTCATCTTTTGCTCCAATTATAAAAGCTTTACTTGAATTAGCAACTGAATAAAATTTTACAGATTAAGGTTCAGTATAATAAGTAATTATTATAATAATTTTATCCTTTTTAGCTTGTCAAAATATTTAATGAATTAAGAGTTCAATTTGTAGATTCTCTTAATTAAGAAACAGCAGATGAAAGTTAAGCAGAGACTAAATATACAGAAAGAGTTGCTTAATTAGAAAAAGAATTTGCAGAATTCTAAAGATCAGTTTTAATTAAAAATTCTGAATTAGCTGCTAATGAATGTATATTATATTTAAAAATATTTATTAGAAAAACTTGGAGAAACAATTGTCTATGTAGGATAACGAAAAGATGATAAAGAAACACTTGAAGCATAATTATAAGCAGAAAATGATAATTATGCTGCTGAAACAGATTTGTATACAAGAACTGTTACTGAATATAATAAAGAAATAGACATTAGTAAACAAGCTTATGGTTTACTTACATAACCTAGTTTCGAATCTTATGTTAGATCAACAGTTGGGATTTGATTAAAAAAATATAGATAAAAATATATATATATATTTTAATTCAAAGAAGATATTTAATCAAATCTTTTGCAGCCATAGCAATAGATTTGTCTTCCTTTTGATATTTATCCAAAACCTATATTAAGATTTCTTTCTTTTCTATCTTAAATGGTTTTTATTCATTTAATACAACCACCCAATGTAATAATTTTATAATTCTCTTATTTAATTAAGGGCATAATAAAGGAATTAATTAATTAAATAATTACTATCTTATTTATGATAGTTTTCCTGGATAAAAATATGTCAAATGCAACATATAAGTTAATAATGTTAGTTGACATCCTGGAGTAGCAATATTAATTATTTATTAAGCATATTAAAGAGTGAAATAAAATTGGTCTTAAAAAAATAAGAATTCTTATGGGAAAGGTTAAGGAATCAATGTATTATCTGGACTAACCACAATTTTATTATTCCCTCTTTATAATTCATTAATTATTTTGCTTGTGATTGCTACCATTATAGAAGATAGATCTTCAAAAGCCCATTCTTATTTCTATTTTGTAAATTATACAAATATTTATAATGATTTATCTAAAATTTAATATTTAATTATTTTTACCTATAATTTAAAATTGTTTGAGATCTTCAATTGAACTACCCTCAACTATCTTTTGAATGATATTCAAAGTATGACCTGTTATATTATTACTATCAGGTTTGTACATATCTAATATAGCTTATAAGACTTCATGTCTTTTAAAATGAGGGAGAAAGAGCGAATTATATGTTAAGAGAATTGATGCTAATTTTAATGCATAAAATGGTAAGGGAGGTTATTCTTGGAATAATTCCTTTAATAATGGTAGAATGAGAGTAATTATGATATTATTCAATTCATTAGAGTAAGGTTTTAAGAAATTAGGATAATCATAGATTCCTTCTTCTTACAATAAAGCACTTAATAAATCTATGATCAATTTCAAAAACATAAATTTAGTTTCAGTACTCTATTACTTAACCATATAATCAATACAATTTTTAAGCACTTATTATATTATGACTTATTGTTATTTTATTAAAATTTTAGAATTAGTACACATTTTAGACATAATATTTAATAAAGTTGTTTAAATTTATGTTTTATTCTTTGATAATGATAATAATTCTGTAAGTATTGGTAAATATTAAGATGAAAATAATGATTGTTATAAAACAGGTGTTTATGAGTATTAGAATAAAACATTTAAATAATTGCCATTAGTTTTCTTTGGAGAGTATTCCATCAATTATGAATCAGTCAATGATTAATTAATCTATGTGATCATAATAGGAGTGCAATCACATAATTATTGTACTAAATGTTATAAGCATTATTTTAAATAATCATTATTATCTCTAAGTCCTTTATCTAAAATTTAATAAAATCTTAATTATTCTTCTGATAGATTAATAAGTGTAACTATATTAAATTTAATCATTAGCATTAATGCAATAGCTGCCTTTCCTCTACTCACAGCATTACCATGATCTAATAAATAAACTAATCCTTTTATTAATTAAGCTATTTTTTAATTTTTCATATATACATTCTTCCATTAATAATTTATTAACTGCATTTGATGCCAATTAAGATACATTATTACTTGATGAATCCTATGTGCTTACACTCTATAAAAGATGAATATTGAATATTGTAATCATTGCTTATTACACTCTCTGTAAATTATCTAAAAATATCTAAACTTATTAAATAAATATTAATACTGATACTAAATTCTTTAATCCAAGACTTTACATAAATACATCAACTTATTAATTATCTAACATTAGAAGATTAGCTAAAGTAATAGCACAACTAATTCTTAAACTATCATTTTTCGTAGACAAAAAGCATTAGAGAATCATCAAAACTATTTCTGATTTTGCAAATCTTTATCCTATTGATATTGATTATGATGATATATTTTCAATTGTTTTTATACAATAAAATTTTACTAATTAGATTATTTAAATTATTACCAATTTCATCTTCATTTTATGATTTAATAACTTTAATTAATTAATTGAAACTAAGATTAGTCATCTTCCAATAGGGATTCTAAGGATCTTCCTCCATTTAGGTTGCTCCATAAAATAAATATTCACCCAAAGCTGCTGCTGCTTTTCTTCTAACAGTGCTTTATTCTTTGGAATTTAATATTTCTACCATAGCTTCTGGTATTCCATGTTATGAAACTTCAGGTTCAATAACAGTAGCATGTCGTATCAATAATCCCAAAACACAGCAAATTCGATATTTTAATTAAGTTAATTTACTTACTGTTAATAATTTTAATAATAATTAAACATATGCAGAATTAATTAAACGATTAGCTGCATTAGATGTCTAAATAATTTATTCAAAATAATTTAGAATATTTAATTATTCCTATTATTTAGCTACTTGTAATGAATTATATATTTATTCAAAATGGAATTCTATTTAATCTGTTTCAATATTTCTATTAACATCATCTGAATTAATATATTAAAAAGGTAATGATTCTTTGGCAAATGTAGCATCAATTGATTTTTCTATTTCCCTATTTCCTATAATAGGTTTGACTGAATTATCAGAACTATGAGTGAATAATTAATCTATAGGAGTCAATTAATCATTTTCATTTCCCTTTTTTTATTAAGGTGTAATCCCTCCTGGAATAGGTGATTAATTAAGAAGACTTTAAGTAGATGGATGTACTGAATCTTTTTTAATTGTAAATGGTTTCTATTGTAAATGAGGTGAATTAATAGAATTCAAATCTGATTATACATTAGTTTAAAATTCTTCAGGTTATTTATCAATTTCTTCATCCTCTTATTATTATTCTGATCCTATCAATATTTCTTAATCTTTATTTGTTAATTTGAAATCTTTCTCATTACTGCTAATCTATTTATGATATTATTATTATTATGAACTACTAGGTACATCTTCTCTTAACATATTCTTATGGACATTCAAGGATAATCTAACAATATCAACTTATTTATTATTCTATTGAACAGGAGTTACTCTAACTAGATTGTTTTTTTTGCACCATGTTTCAAAATGTGGTTGAGATGGTACATTCAAATATTAAATATTAAGGAATTTACAGATCTTTTCCCAACCCCATCTTTTAAGAGGATCCTTCTCTAATAATCTAAGATTAAATTATAAACTAATACCCTTTAATAAAGTCCCAACATTAAACCTCTAATGGTTTTACTTCTGCATTCAAAATTAATTCAACTAATTCAGTAAAGCTACTGCATTAGAATGGAGGTTATCCAATACATAATTCATATGCAATACATCCCAAAGCCCATAAATCACTTTAAAAACTATATACTCCACCTTCATGAAACAATTCTGGTGCCATATAATAGGGTGATCCTCTTTTAGACATTTCTACATCTGGACCTATAGTAGCTGATATCATATCCACCAAACGTTTTGCATTTCCCAAATCACTTAACTTTGCTACTCCATATTCATTAAATAACACATTAGATGGTCTCAAATCACAATAAACTATAATTAAATTCAAATGACTCACTTATGCCCTTAGAATGCAAATAATTTAATCCTGCTGCCATATCCCTTACAAAACGTAACACTATGTTTTCTTATAACCCTTATTAATCTGCTTCAATTAGTGCCATTAAATCTCCTCCTGGACAATACTCCAAAATCACCCAAAGATGATTACGAGTCTCATACCAATGATAAAATTTCAAAATATTTGGATGTTTAAGACCAGAAAACATTTTAACCTGAATCATTTTAATTAATTGATACTTCATTCAAAAGTTTTGTACGCCTACTTTTTTCTAATGATTTTACTGCCATATATTCAATAGTCTTCTTCTTTCTTCCCTTATACACAACTGAATATTTTCCTTTTCCTATCTCATCATATATATGATAGTTATTCATAATTTTTAAATTTTGTTTTATTTTATTTTATGGGCAAGAAGAAATTCATCAACAAATAGAATGCTGCTACACTTAAAATGGTTCATTAACCAGGTGAAAATAATCAAGGAGCTACAGACATGATTTGTTTCTAAAAAGTTAATCAACCTGGTGTTCAAAATGAATTGTATTCTCATCTAAATATTGTAGATCTGAACTTATTGAAAAAGAACTAAACAAAGGTAAATTTGATCCTAATCTTAAACCACGAATCCCTTAAATTGATCCTACATAAGATGCTTTAAATTTAGTTGTTGGAAGAGAAGACCTTTGGATTCATCAATTAGCTAAATAAAAAGCCTAATAAGCACTTAAAGAGAAATAAGAATAATATTAAGATGTAGTAATGAAACATTATGATGAAAATGGATTACCTTTAGATGGGTATGATTATTCATAACATCTTGCTCCAGAAAGACGTAATCATTTCATTTATATCATAATTTAGCCTAAGGAGAAATAGAATGTGTTTTTGTTGTTCCTGAAGAAGAGAGATCAAAGGTAGTGTATGATATAGATTTTAAAAGAGAAGAATTAACAAAAGAATAATAAGAAGTTTATGATTTGTTGATGAAAGAAGAAGAGGATAATGATAATGAAAATAATTAAGAGAATTAAGAAGAATTAGATGATGATTTTGTTGTAAATTTAATTCAATAAAATAAATAATAATCCTTTTAATAAGAAAATTTGGAGAAAGTAGAAAAAATAGAGAAGATAGCAGAATCACCTAAAAAATAAGTTAGATTTTAAGATTAAGAAGAATCAGATAATGAAGAAGATTATGAAGATGAAGAAGAAATGGAAATTACTTATGATAAATAATAAATTAATTAAAAATCATAATAAAAATAATAATAATAATAATAATAATAAAAATAGACTAAATAATAATAAAGTGATTCTGATTCAGAATTAGAAATTGATTCAGATATGGAAAGAGAATTTGAAAGAGAAATGAATGCTTATGAAGCACCTGATGATGAAGATGATGACCAATAAAATAAAGATTTTGTTAATGATTAAATGCTTAATAAAGTTATTGATGATCATCTTAATACAATGACTAAAAAATAATAAAAAAAGTCTAAAAACTAACCAAAAATAAAAGATTAACCTGAAGAAACTGAATGTATTATATATTAATTATTGTAGAATAAAGAGAAAAAAGACTTGAATATTTAAGAAATACAGATTATAATGAATACTTACGATAAAAATTCCCTAATGCAGATTTTTCATAATTTCATCTAAAGAAAGAAATACCACCACTCACTCCTGAAGAAGATATAGCATTATAGAATTATTTAAATAGAGAATCCAGTGATGAAGAATGTCCTGATATGGAACCTGCTGAAAAGTATTAAGAAACTATTGTTACTAAATCTCTTCATAATACTACAATGTCAAAGATGAACCCAGATTAATTAAACATAATTAAATATAAATCAAAAAACTTAGTATCAAATACAAAAGAAGATCGAATGAAATTAAAAGAATAAGAAAAAATTAAAATTAAAGAATTAAAATAAGAAAAAGAAAAGGTCAAAGAGGCTGTTTGTGGTATATATCTTTTAATACAATTTTAGAAACTTTGAAATAAGTAGTTATAAAAAAAGAAGAAACTCCTGAAGAAAAGAAACATAGAAAAGAATTAGTGAAATAATTGAAATAAGCTTAAAAAGAGAAAAAAAAAGCATTTAAAGAATAATTATAGACTATGTCAAAAAAACTATAAAAATAAAAATTAGCTAATATTTAAAGTAATTAAACCGAAAATGTTTCAATTGTTAAAATAGCATGATTATTATATTTTTGTTTCATATTATCTAATCACATTGTTATCAATAATACTTTATTTATTAGTTATATTTTAAAATATGAACACAGTTATTGAATAAAATAAATTACATAACTTAGCTATTTACATAAATGAAGAAGAAAAGAAATTCCAAAAACATTTAGAAAAAACAGAAAAAACAAATTAAAAAAGAATTGATCTTGAAGAAGAAATACATAAAATTCAATTAGAGATCATAAGTAAATTATATCAATAATATTATAAGAGCAAAACCATTTAAAAGAGAAGGCTGAAAAGCTTCAAAAAGATTACCCTTAATTACTCGAAGAAAAATAACATGAACTTGTTAATCTCTAGAAAGAATTATCATTGACTACTGCAGCTAAAAAAGTAAATTAAGTATAAAACTTAGGCAGCTTAATAAGAATATGATATTTAGATTAAGCATCTATAGTAATAAATTGCAGAATTGAAAAGAGAAAAACAAGATTTGAAAAGAGAAAACTTAGGGAAATAAGAAAAATAAACAGCTTTGCGTAATGACTTATAAAAGTTTGGAAAAGCATTATAGAGTAGAGAAAAGCCTCCTGTTGAATATAAAATTTATAGTTCTTCTGGAGGATTCGGACCTCTTTATTAGCCATAAGAGTAATAGTAGTAAAATATGTTTTATTGATATAATTTATTAATTACTAAAGTATATTTAATTATATTTTGTCATGTAAATTAATGCAATAAGATCATTGGCCTTTTCCTCATCGTTAAGATCTCATAAGTCTTTTAACAATAAGTAATTAATATATATAAAAATTTTAGAAAACTAAAAAAGAGATTTCATCTATGAAAATAGATCATAATCTACAATGACAATATAAGGCATTGATGGAACAGCTCCTAAATTAAAACCATACCAATATTTAAATAAAGAATAATTTTGTAATCGTGATGACGATATTCCAGGAACTAGATCTAGACCGCTAATTAGATCAAACAATAGATCTGATAATAAATTAATTGTTGATGATATTAAAGAAACTATGTCTAAAGTTAATAAATTTTCAATCAATTGAGACACTGTTAATCCTCTTAAACCTGTTTATAAAATATCCTCATATGAATAAGCTGAACCTTAAAAACCTAAATTAATAAGAGAAAGCTATAATGTGTAGGATATTGAGGGTGCTTAACCATCATTTATGAACCCTAAAGATATTGTTGGTGCTTAAGCTGGATCTCATTTTTAACTATTAAATTTCTGGAAATAGTGAAATTTAGTAATTTTTATTTAGAATTTTGATTAGTTCCATGAAATCAAAAAGTTTATTTTAAAGAAATGCATGTATATAAATGTTGACAAATACATAGAAGTTGGATTTCTATTATCTTGAATTTGATAAATTTAAATTATCATTATATGTCATCATATTTAGGTTTTATCAGATTTAATAAAATCATAATATTAATTATTGCATTTCATAAACTTAGTATTTCTATTAACTTTTATTATTATATTTAATGAATTAGCTTGTGAATAATAATCCTACAACAGACTAAGGTGCAATTTAAGCTGCTTTCCCAGGAGAATACAAAAATTTTGCTCCTATTGGAAGAGGTTCTTATGCTAAAGTGTATAGAGCAGAAACAGAAAATGGTGAATTAGTTGCTATAAAAGTAGATAATTATTTAATCCTTATAGGTGATTGATTTAAAAAATATGTAAAAGGAGATTATTCCTTACATGTAAAATGAAATGAAATTATTATCAGAAAGTGATAATAGGAATGTGATTAAGTTGTTCAAAAGTAACCAAACCAATGAAAAATTAATTTTAGTTCTCGAAGTATTTATTATTAGTTAAATTTAGTATTGTTAAATAGATGTTGAATTTATGGTGAAAAGATATTTTAAAGGAAAATTATCAGATGATTTAGTAATAATTATATTGAGATAACTTGCAAATGGATTATCATATTTACATAGAAATAAAATTATTCATAGAGATTTGAAATTAGAAAATTTTGCTGTTTAATTAACTTAAGAAGATCAGGATGCCTTATAAAATAGAAATGATTTATCAGTATTTGATAGAGCGACCTATAAATTAATTGATTTAGGATTAGCAAAGAAGTTAGGAGATCTTTAAGCATAAACTAGTACTTGGGCAGGAACAGAATTAAATATGGGTATCATATAAAATATAAAAATTAAGCTCCTGAAATTTTAAATGAATAAAAGTATTCATTCTAAGCTGATATGTACAGTCTTGGAGTCTGCTTATACTACATGCTTGTTGGTAAATATCCTTATTTTGATCCAACCAATAGAACTCCACTTTAAGATTTAATAAAAAAGGAGAATGTTGATTTAAATCATATTGCTAATCTTTAATTGAGAAGTTTGATATAAAGAATGCTTAAATTTGATCCTAAACAAAGGCTTACATTTTAGGAATTATATCAACATGAGTTTTTTAAATATAGAGAAGGAGATTTAGCTAATCCAATTGATTTAGAATTAAATTAAAATTAAGTCATTTATTCTTAAAGATTGGATGAGTCAGTTTTAGAATAAAATCCTATAAAACAATAAAGTGAAATATTTTTATAGGAGAATGAAAGGAAAACTTAATAAGTTATGAATACATAACAATAATAATAATTCAATGATTTTATAAATAATCCAGTAATTTAAGAAAAAAATTAAGAGTTTTAAACTCCAGAAGTAAAGAATATGTTTCCTACTAGTAAGTTTGATCCTTAAAAAAAATAAAATGATTAAATCATGCAACTCTATCATATAAGAAATTAATATATTGCAATTTTGAAATTAGCTGAATATCTTGAGCAAATAATACCTCTAGTTAAAAATTCTAAACTTGATTTTTTGACTATGTCATAAAAATTTAACATGTATATCGAATATCTGAGAATGGTTTCTAAATAATTATACACAAAGTTATAATAAAGATTCCTTTTCTTTTAATAATCTTTAGGATCTTATGATAGATTTTAATTATTGTAAAAGTAAGTCAAATAAGAAGATTAACCAAAACTTGAAAAAGTGTAAGTTAGAGAAGGAGATAGTGGTGGAATGATTTCATGGCTTAAGAAAAGTGTTTTAAAGTAAATTTAATGTGAACCTCATGACTCTGCCAATTTTAATTAATAATACTAATAAAACAACATTGAATTATATAAAGAATTGTTGAAGATGTTACAAGATTCATTTTACAAATATACAGATGATTCTGATCCTAAAATAAAAAGAATTAAATGTTTAATCTATTTATCTATGATAAATACTGCTAGATCTAGAGTACTATTTTAAGTTGAACTTTAAAATACTGATTATAAGGCTGAAGAACTCCTATTAACAAAAGCCCGCGATGAGCCAGATATTCTTTCAGAAAAAGTAACAGCAATTTTAGCTTAATATAATTTACAATATAATTGAAAGATTCTATAATTTTAAGTATGCAAAAATATTGTTTTTATATATTTTTAATCAAATTTTTATTTATCAATCTTTAATATTGATGATTACAATTATCTTAGAAGACTAGATATATATAGGAAAGAGTTCCTAAATTTGATACTTTTTCTATGACCATTTATATATGATGGCAAAAGATTCCTTCTTATTTTGGTTTTTTATTTATTTAAATTAAATTAAGATGATAATACATCTTAAGTATTATAAATTTTTTACCATAACCTAATCAAAAATACTTTGAATATCCTACAAATTGTTTTTATTTTCAATTTTTCTAATGATTTATAAGATTATTAGTAAAGTATAAAAATAAAAATATTAGATTTTTTAAAGAAATTTATTTGGATAAAAATGTTTTAGACAACAAAAGCAAAGAAAGAAGAAAAGTATAAGTTAAAATAAAGGAATTTGATTAGTTTATTAAAATAAAAAGAATTATTAAACTTTATTTAGTTATAGATATTTCATTACATAATTAATCAAATATTGTCTTTGAAAAGTCTTCCTATTGAAGTTTAACTTCCTTTAATGTCAATGTTTTCTTTATACAAAGAAGATTTTCTAACTTCAAAATAGGTGGATTCCTTATAGAATTATATTTATTTAATACCTTAATATTTTTGATATCTTATCCTCTTTTCTTATATGCATCAAATTCTGCTTGAAGCATCATTAAATTTTCTTGAACTCGATGATAATCTTTATTTAAAATAGAGAATTTTTGCCTCCAAGTTTCTACTTCATTTTATAAGTAACTAATTCTATCTTCTAAATTAGAAAGATCAATATTATTATTTTATTCAATTTATCTCATTTAAGAATCTAGTTCTACTAATTACATTTATTTTATTTTTAATTCTTCTAATAATTTCTCCAACTTGAATTTTAATGAACTTTCAGATTCAATCTTATATTCTAATTCTTTTTATAAATTTTTTGCTTATAAATTAGTTTGCTCATTTAAATATTTCATTTATTACTCTACACCTTACAAATGAGAAATCTAATCTTATTAGAAATAATTTTTCTTATTTAATTCTTCTTCTAAAGAGAGCTAATATTTAAGATCATTTTTTAAACTATCAATTTATTTCATATTTTCATCTATTTATTATTACAATTCTATTAATTTAATTTCTTATTTCTAACTATTTTCTTTGGATTTTTCTAATTCATCTACTTATTACTATTTACTCTATTCATATTGAGATAATTTTTCTTATTATTGATTATTTAAGATTTATTATTTTTCCAATTCAAAACATTAGAGTAATATTTATTCTATTAATTTTAACTTTTCTTCTTTTAGATTATCATTTTGTTATTATAATGTAGTAATTTATTCTGATGAATTTTATTAATTATTTAAAAGATTTGATTGAAGATCTGAATTTTGAAGTAACAATTTATCTTATTCTTTATTCAGCGAAGTTATTTATTCTTTTAATTATTATTAAACTACTTCAGTTTCCTTAATTCTTTCATTTATTTATGTTTGATGTTCTTCTAATTATAACTATTATTATTTAATTTCAGTTTATAAGAGAATGTTTTTAATTTCAAGATCTGTTTTTTATTATTGTAATTCTTAAATGAGATTTTATAATTATTTATTAGTTTCTATTTATGATTATAGTTAATTATCAAATTATTAAAGACTTTCTGATTTTAAATTTAAATCATCTTTTAATTCAACAATTAATTTTTCATTCTATCTTAATGTTAATTGTAAATTTTTAATCATCTCATCTAAATTATCTAATTTACAATTTTTTGTTTATAATTCATCAGATACTGAATCTAATTTATTTGTTTTTTCTTATAATTAAGTAATCAAAGATTTATTTTAATCTTTCAAATCATCAATTTCTTTAGTATTATCATTTAATTATTATTAAATTTATTATAATTGATTTACTAAAGCCTCCCTTTCTTATTTTGTTAATTAATGTTCAGTGTCTTTATTAGATAATAAATTTTCATGATGTTATGTTTATTAAATCAATTGATATTATAAATTTTAATTATTTTGATCATTAATAATTATTTGTTAATTTAATTATAGATTTTATTCTTGTTATTCATTTAATTCAGTTTCAAGTTAATTAATTTTATTATTTAAATTTTCTTTTTCTTTTTAAATCATATCTATTTTTTCTTCTTATAATTATTCATTTTATTGAGATTATACTAATTTCTATTCTAATAATTCTAAATTCTCTCTAAATGTTTACATTAAAGAATCCTTTTATACAAGCATTTATTATGTTTATTAATCTTTTTGTGTAATTTCATATTTAAGTTCATGAATTATATTATTAGAGTATATGAGTTCTTATTCATAATTATTTTGTTTCTATTATAATTCTAAAATTTAATTATTTCTTTCTTCAATTACATTTTATCCTACTTACAATTGCTTTTCATAATCTTAAACTCTAAATTTTAGTTATGAAATGACTTCATTTTTATCTTCTATTACAAATTATAGTCTTTCAATTTCAGAACTTAAAAGAGCAACTTTATTTTCAAGTACTTCTTATTATTTTAACTATGATGTTAAGAATCTAATTTAATCATCTTAATAAGAGAATTATGATTTAAAAGTATTAAGTTCTGAATTTATATAAGTAACTTCTTGCTTATGATTTTTTTATGTTTCTTCTAATAGTTTTTTCATACTTTCAATTTCCATACTTGTATCAACCCAAATTTATTATTCGCTATAATATTTCTCTACCTACTAATCTAATTCATTTTAAAGTTCATTTATTCTTTGATTTAATTTATTATTTTCTTATGTCAATTAATCTATCAAAGTTTCCTAAAATTAATATATTACTTACATGTCCTTAACATTTTTTTTCTGTACACAATTTAACAGTTCTAGTCTCTATTACTGGTCTATATGTAGTAGTTGTAACAGTAGTTTTAGGTCTTGATTAATAGGTAGTAACCTTTGCTAATCTACCACAAGAATCATGACGTTTGTCTTTAGGTGGAGAATTGACAACTCTTGTTGTTGCAATAGTCTGAGTTTGAAAAAATTTGGGAGATTGAGGTCTCATTGTGAGAGAAATCGTTAAATTTAATAATAATTTTTAATACAGTTAAAATGGAATAAGATGAAATAATTAAATAAGTGGTTCATGTTTTTAATAAACTATCTACAAACTAATAATAACCTATTAGTAAAGAGACATTATTAAGATTCTTGGATTCTCAATCAAATCAAGAATATGATAGAGGTCTATTTGAGTAAATGTATGTATAAATGGTCAAAAAAGATTCTGGATAAATTACTATTTAGAAATTCATAACAGTTTTGATTGAAGCATTAAAATAATTGAAAAATAAGATATCTAACATAAAGATATAAATATCACAAAAAACCAAAAATTTAGAGGAACATTAATTAACCTTAAAAGAATTATAATCTCAAGAACAATTTAATTCATATAAAATATCCTTAGACAGTAGAATTAGAATTACTATTCATGATGCTAATATTTAATTTCCTGGAAATAGTCCAATTGCAGTTATTTTAGGATGTGATTAAATAAGATATTCTACAAAACCAGCAAGCAGAGAAAATCCTATATGGGAGGAGAAGTTTGATTTTGATATCAAAACTGGCAAAGAAGAAATTTATATTATTATTTTAGATAAAGAATTGGCAGATAGAGAAGAAATAGGAGGATAAACAAAACTTAATTTACAAGATTTTTATGATTAATATCCTCATGAAATAACACTTGAATTAAAAGACAAATATAATGTAGTAAAGTATTCAACCATTAGAGTTAGAGTATAATGGATACATTCTTAAGTATTTTGATATATATGAAAGACAAAATATTGTACACAAGTTATCCAAGAATTAAAGCAAAATATCAAAAATCTTGATGATGATTTAAAGGAATATAAAAATTATATTCAGATGTTATTCCTTCCTTTTGAAGAAAACTATTATAAATCTTAAGGGGAGAAGTAAGAATATAGTGATTATTCTACAAATTAACATACACATTAGAATTAATTGGTAAGAAATCCAGAAAATTAAGAATGGTTGAAATTTGGGTTCATTTTAACATTGATATACTCTATTGTGGCACTTTTTACTTGTCTTTTTAAAACTTAGTTTTTGGATGTATATATATATATATTTTAGTCAATTGTAATATTTTAAAGCCTAATTTATTATTTGGATAACGATAAATTTTCATAATAATTACATCTTAAAGTAATTTCTTTAATGTTAGCATTCACTCTTATTATTGATACATTTTGGCTCATTATCTTTACTAAACCATATATTAATAATGATGTATTATTTTATTAAATTGAACATGGGTTTCAATTATATGAAATCATTATGCAATATATTTTATTTGGAATTAAAGTAAATTTTATTATATTTATTAGTTTTCTTTAATATGTATATATGCATATATTTATTTTTCAGAAAATTTAAATGAAAATTCCCATAATGATTAAGCATACTCAAACAGAGAAAATTATTAACTAAATGATAATCCTCTAGAAAGAGATAATAGAAAAAATGAGAATTATTAAGTTAAACAATAATTATGAATTTAATCTATTCATTATTTATAGAGAAATTTGATATTTGAATACGCTTATTAATAATTCTAATAGCTGTATTTAATATTAAAATTTAACAGTTCAACTTTCTAATTTATTTTCATCATAATCTTAAAATGGAACTTGATAAACATTAATTGAAGAATTTGATAAACGTCCTCCATTTTTTTTAAAATCTTATTTTTTCTTTATCCTGTTTGCTAATCTCAAATATAAATTATTTTATTATTTTAAAAATTCTTCATGAACAGTGGAATCATTAGCTTCATTATTTTTTTCAAATTATCCAACAATATTCTCACAAGCTCTTTCATTCACTTTTTATACTTCTTCTAATTCATACAAATGAACCATCTTCTTTTATTTATAATTATCTATTTGAATTATTGGGATCTCTGATTGATTAGCCATTATAAGATTTTTTAAGATATCATCTTAATCTTATTTACTTTTTCTTACTATCTATTATAACAATTGATGTTGCTTATCCATAAAATAATATGTAATTGGATCCATTTATGAATCATAATATGAAACTATTTCTCCATACATTTGAGTCATTTAAACCAACTAAATTCTTAATCACAATCACACACACATACTTCATCCATGCATATATCCTCTTTCGTGGCTTTCTCTTCATATTTTAATAATACACAATAAAACTGTTTTGCAAGGGGTCTTTTGAATGCTCTATCATCCATTGTTTTCATAGTATAAAAATTAATTTATAGAATATGATCAATTTCTAAACAAAACCTTTTTATAATTTTAACAATTAAAATAATTACTCCATATCATTTATAAATATATATATCATAGAAGCCTTTTAAATTTAAATTATTCAATTATACTGAATCATATATTTAAAATAAATTAAAAGTATTTAACATTATAATATATCTCTAAATTCTCTTCTTTATTGAAATTTCACATGTTATATATCTCTCTCAAGAAAAAATTTTAAGAACATAATTGAGTTTATGCAAATCTTTATTATGGTTACTCATAAAATATGAAAAAATAGCGTTGTTTTATTTTAAATTTTAAATTTTATAAATGTAATATTTAGAAAACATGGAAATATTAGTATATAGGTGTAATATATAGTATTGGAATTGGTCTAGATAAACAAGCAAAATGGGATTATATGAATGTTTATTGAATGGATAACATATTATAAAAAATTGATTAAGAAATAATCGAGATTTGTTAAATATTTAAAAAAATAGATATTTATATTTGATTGCATGAGCAGAAAAGAATAAGACATCAAAAGATTGATTGCTTCATAAGTAAAAATGTTATTTAGATTTCACTATAGTGCCACATTGGAACAAAACAACTTCATTTTGACTTAAAGAGATATGTATCTCATAGAAGTGATAATGGTTCATACATTCTCAATTTAGAAGAAACCTGGTAACACATTAAATTGGCTGCCAGAGTTATTGCTGCAATTGAATAACCTCAAGATGTTATGGTATGTTAAAAATGAATAATTCAGGTTGTTTCATCAAGACCAATTGGTTAAAGAGCAGTCATTAAGTTTGCTCACTATACATAAGCCAGCTCAACTAGATCAGCAAGATGGACACCAGGTACATTGACAAATCAATCCAACAGTGCTAGTGGTAAATTCTAAGAACCACAATTATTGATTGTCACAGACCCTCATTTGGTAAGAATTTGAATTCATAAATTTTTTATAGGATAGATAAGCTATTGTTGAAGCCTCATACGTTAACATTCCAGTCATTGCCTTATGCAACTCTGACACTCCATTATAATTTGTTGATATCCCCATCCCAGTTGGAAATAGAGAAACCAAATCAATTTCAATGGTTTATTGGTTATTGGCTAGAGAAGTCAAAATCTTAAGAGGAGAATTGAGATAAGGTATAAATATATAATTTTACATTTTTTTAGATGAAGAATGGGATGTATTGGTTGATTTGTTCTATCACAAAGAAATTACCAATGATTAATTGGGAATTACAGACAATTAAGTCAAATAAGAAGCTGAAGGTGAAGATCATGAACAATAAGCTGAAGGTGAAAAGGCAGATAAAGACTGGTGATAAAATATATTAATATTATGTAAAGTACATGTATAAGGAATGCGTTTAATTTTATTAATTATATTATTATTTCTTTATTTTATGAGTAATACTTTTAAATCTGCAGGCAATACTCTTGCTAAAGGTAATGATTTAGGTTAAACGAACTAAAGTTTTGGTGGCTCTTAAAATCCTGCTTCATTAAAAGGAAAATTGATGAGTTTGGAAGTATTTAAATAATATAATATTAGGAAACTATTAAAGGTATTTAAGATGAGATGAATTTTCACAAAAAAGAAGTTTAAATTCTTAAATCAGAAAAGGATACTTTAGAATCTGTTTTGAGCATGAAAACTTAAGATGTTAAAAAGACTCTTACAAATGAACTTATGAGAATAGAAGAAGAAATGAAAAGGTATTTACAATATTAAAATATTTTTAATTAGACATTTTGCACATCAAAAGGCTGAGAATTCAAGATTATAATAATAAATAACAGGATTAAAAGGAGAAAAGACTGCTTTATAATAATAATTGTTAGGATTGTAAAGGAGAATTGCTGAGTTGGAATTATAAGTTGGTTAAGAATAAGCATGAATAGTAATATAACCCAAAAAGTTAAATCATAATTAAATTTTGTTATTTTATATTCATTAGCGATGGATTCATATTCCTTATTAATAAGTAAACCCTTCAAAATAAACATTCTGTTAAGAATCTGGAGTTTCAATTAAAGGCTATTATAAGAATGCTGGAGCAAAGTTAGACAAATCCTCTAAATGTTGAATTCGGGGTACTATTGGAGGCTAAAGTTTTCTTTGTTCAACTAGTTACCAATCTATTCCACTAAAAAAGTTGTGTTTTTTTATTTCTTGGATCCCATTTGAGCCTAATCGGAATCCAGGCTACATAATAAAATGATTTATACATCTTTTATTAGGAGTCCTTTTAGTAAAGATTATGCTTATAGAGAAAAGTTAGGTTTCATTTCTAAAGGTTTTTCACATCTATTTTTCAACATTTCTCTTTTATTTTTAGAATAAAATGGAGGAGCACCACTTAACATTTCATATATCAAAGCTCCATAACTATAAAAATCAACAACAAAACTATGTCCTTTTTCTAATAAATGATAAAGAGACACAGTTTACAATATAGAATTTCAGGAGCAACATATTCTGGAGTACCACAAAAGGAATATGTCATTTCATTTCTTTCATATCCTAATTTAGATAATCCAAAATCAGTAAGAACTACATGTCCATCTTTATCTAGGAGAATATTTTCTGGTTTTAAATCTCTGTAAATAATTTTTTATTGATGCAAGTTATCAAGAGCAATTAAAAGTTCAGCAGCATAAAATTAAGTCCATTCTTCACTAAATTTTTATCTTTTTCTAAGATGTAGAAACAGTTCTCCACCTATCATAAAATCCATAACCATATAAAGTCTTGATGGAGTTTAAAAAGCAAAATGCAATTTTACAGAAAAAGGACTATTAACAAGTGTCATTATTTTTCTCTCTTATATTGCTTATTCTTATTATTTCTTTTTTTGTAACAATTTTTTCCTTAAAATCTTCACTGCATACAATTATTGATCTGCTATTCTTTTAACAAGTAAAACTTTTCCAAATGAACCTCTACCTATAACTTTTAATAGTTCAAAATCAGAAAGAGTAAGTTTAGTTTTAAGATTTCCGTTTTCACCTTCAATAGGTATTTATGTTGTTTCCCCAATCTTTTCATCAACTTCATCTTCATCTAGAATTTCACTTGCAATATCTGGTATTTTTGAGTTATATTCTGCTTATTTGTTTTAGCACATACCCATTTTATTAAATATATTTTATATTTTATGATAAACTTATTCTTGAATTAACTCTTCATTAATAAATAAATTATGAAGATGATGTAATAAGCTTACATTATATATAATTAAATATTTATTGTTAATTATTAAACTATTATGATTAGAAAAAAAATGTATATGAAATAATTATATTTCATTCATCAACTATAAAATTATTATTATTTTATACAATCTAATGTTTTAGGATCCAGAAGAGAAAGATATGATTGGTGATCTTCTTAATGGTATTACAAAATATTAAAGCTATTTTAGATAGTTTTGAAGCAGACAAAACAAAAAAATCATATTCTAACAATAGACCCCCTGCATTAGAAATAAAATAATAATAAAAGGCTTCACCTGTTTATCAACCCAAAGTTTATTCACCTTAAGTTTAACATAAGGCTAAGTTGTTAATTTCTTTATTAAAGTTCTTACGATTTAGATTTAAGACTTACTAAAATACCTGTTTAACAAAGTGCTCCTAATTCAGCCTTAAAAGCTAAATCATATGATTGCATGACTTAATTTATTCCAGAAGAAGAAACAAGTCTAGATGGAGATTTAGTAATCAAAAATTCATAATAAATAAGATATCTAAATGTAAAGATTAAAATGGTGCCAGAAGCATTTAAAAATAATTCTAAGAAGGACCTGTTGCAATCAAAGATTTGATATTCAGTAGACTAGAAAAAGGATTCGTATCACTGTCAAAAGATGTATTTGGTAATTATGTCATCTAAAACCTACTTGAAAATGGTATGAATTTTACATTAAGTTAGGAACTCCCTTACAATAATAAAAAATGCTTGTAATTTTATAACCTCATACTTAATAACTTGCATTTCATCAATATGGATGTAGAGTCTTATAAAAGTTATTATAAAATGCATATAAAACTCCAGAATTTCAAGTGTTATTTGATTCAATAAAAGGGAAAGTAAAAGAATTAGTTATAGATCAACATGGAAATCATGTAGTTCAAAAACTTATCTAACTTATGGAAAGTGATGTAAGCCTTTGGGTTTTAGATGGAATAGAAGGTTAAATAAGCAAATTGGTTACAAATTCTTTTGGATGCAGAATTATATAAAAAGCTGTATCAATCTCTAACAATCATGTTGAAAGATAAATGAGAGTTCTATAAGAAATCATGAAGATATCTCAAGAATTATGTACTTCTTAATATGGCAATTATATAATTCAGTAATTGTTGAAAGATGGTCCAGAAGTTATTTAAATTGAAATCTAATAAATAATAATGGATAAAATAGAAGAGTATAGCTTAAATAAATTTGGGAGGTATTTTCATTTTATAAAATAAGTAATGTTGTTGATTGTGCAATTAAATGTTCAGATAATAAATTTAAATTAAAAATTATGGAATTATTATTGAGCCAAAAGAATCATCCAGTTTTATTTGTTAGATTATCAAAAAATGCATATGGAAATTATGTAGTCTAAAATTTTTTAAAATTTGCAGATAGTGAAATATAAAAGGAGTTATATCTAAAACTTACAAATAATTAATAATTATTGCAAGAAATTTAATAATCCCAATTTGGTAATTTATTTTAATTGATTTTAGGTTAATATGTATATTAAATGTTAACATAAAAATTAGAACTTGAAGCTTTTAAATTATGATACCTCTGTATGATTTGTTAATATATTGTAATTAAAAAAATACTGATATTTACTTATAGCATATTTATTTAATCTATACGATCCTTGGTCTTTCTAAATTTATACTAAATAAATCTTAGATGTCTTGAGAGTAGTTTTATTTTGTAGTAGATAATTTATAACAAAAAAGTATGATAAATATCATCAAGACTTCCTTCATTAAATTTGAACCTTTAAGGAAAAAATATACTATACTTTGTTTAATTTAAAAAATGAAATGATAAGTTAATCTTAACACTTTTTTGAATAAAAAAATTTAGATAGTAGATATAAAAAATTTTTACTTTGGTTGTTTTATCTTTATGATAATAAATAAATTAATTAAGAGTTGCAATTAACATTCCATACTTTGATTAGTATTGTATTCTTTAAGCATATTAATTAGATAATAAAATTATTGGGATGTGATAAGGAAAATAATTCCAAAATTATAAATTATTGCCAAAAATTAATTTAAAAAATCTCAAATTTTATTAGAAATAAAAATAGCAATGTAATAAATACTTCTCTATATTAGAAAAAGTTAATATTAGTATAATTGTTCCAAATGTAAATGAATAAAAATTAAGATTAATTCTAAACATCATCTCTTATAAAAATTTGACAAAACTTTTAATAACTTTTGGTTATAGTTAAACTTTATCTGTTGAATTTAAAAAATAATCAAAGCAATTTAAAAAATAACTTAAAGGAATTTCAAAGCATATATTAGTAATCAGCTACATCAATACACATAAGATTAATAAAAGTTGCTTATAAAATACATAAGTTAAATTAAATTATATTTATGTGATCAAATGTGAATTAATTATAAATTCAATTTTAAGAATTTCTATTTTAAAGTTTATTTTTAATTCTTAACTCCTTTTTTTTCCTACACTATTTATGGTTTTTTTTTCCTCATCTGAAAACAAGAAAATAATTAGAAATATATTTGAGAAAAGTTTAAAAATTTTTTATAATTATAATTATATTAAATTAAACCCTTTTAGGGGGATAAAAATCACAATCATTCATTTATTTTTACATTCTAAAATCTCATATTATTATTTATCTACTTTTATGTTAATTTCTAATTTTACATCCCTAACTAAATATTTTTCAATTCAACAGTGCATCTCAATTATATATTTTATGCTAATCCTCAAATTGGTTTACCTACATTTTGAACCACTAAATTTCAATAACTATTATATATTGTTGAGGCATTATCTAAAACTTATCGATTTTCTATCTTATACTATTTTTATATTTATTTATCTAAAGTTAATCCTCTCACATAAATTTTATAAGTTAGTGTATTCATAGTTTTATTCTTTAAATCATTCAATTATTTAAAATATATAAGGTTTATTTAGCAAGCCAGTTATTTTCTTGAAACTACTTTTACTAATTAATTACACTTTCTTTTAATATGTAATTCTTTTTTCATAACTTAAAGCTGCTGGAAATCCAAATATATTTCCTTAATTAATTTGATTTTGTAATTTAATAATTGCTGGTTTTTCTATATTTATTTTCAAATTATATTTAGGGGTTATAATTAATAATTTTTTAATAGTTTTACTGTTAGTGTTTTGCTATAAAATAAAAACTAAATCGGTTGCCTATAAATAATCTTCTATCTTGCTTTTAAATTGTTATTTAATATCATTTACCATTTGATAAAAATTATATCTGTGTTTTTATCCTTACAATAGAATTTCAAGATTTTAATGAAAAATAAGATATTTATATAGCTCCTTCAAGTTTAACTTCTTTAATAAACTTTTCAAAATTTTAGATATTGTTGGAGAAATCAAATTGATGATATAATCCAGTTTTAGGTTTCTATTCTTTATCATAATATGCAATCGAAGAAAGAATTATATCTCTATTAGTCTAAAATTTGATAGCCTTTAAGTATTTTTAAGCTAAACATATTACTTGCTCAACATATGGTTACATAGATCTAAATAATCATTTATTAAATTTATACTATGTAAAATCAACAACGTAACAAATATCTAACTTTCCGCATTCATCTAAAGAAACTTATGTTTTCTTCATCATTATTTCTTTGATCATCTTGTTCTCTATCCTTTATTACTCTTTTATCGCCTTTTATCTTTTAATTTCCTAATATTCTTATTCTTTCTATTTTTAAACTTTTTGAATTTCTTATTCATTTTTTTGCAAATTTTATTATATTTCATTTTTTAATTATCTTAACTCTTATTCTAATTTTGATGTATTTTGATCCTTATCTTAGATTTTCTTTTCCCATTTAGTTTGAGCTTCTTTATATAAGTATTCATATTATTATTTCTTTGTTTAAAGTACTTTTTGAATATTATTTTTCATTAAAAAAGTCACTTCTTTATTGATTTACTTTTGAAAATCATCATTTTTTAAATTAAGTAAAGTATTAGAATTGAATTTTTGTAAATCCGATGATAATTACTTAGGCTATATCTACTTGAAATTAAAGTTCTCATTCAGAATTTGATCAAGTTATGCATCAATTCTATGGAATGAGGACTATTTATATCGATTAAATAATGTTTTTTACATCTAATGCTAATTCAAAATTTTTTATAATTGCATTTGCTTTCTTTTTGTATTATTTTCTTAAAGCTTTTTCTGAAAAAGTTTTCATTTGAATATTAAAAGAATTTTTATTTCTATTAATACTTAGTATATAATTAATAAATGTGCTCATTAAAATTTTATTACAAAATGATATAAATAAGGATCTATTGTTTAACAATTTGATTTATGATTTAACTAGAATAAAGAATTAACTAACATTTGAAATCTCTTTTTGAATTGAGGATTTACAGTTTCAAAAACTTTACTATTACTAATATGCTACAAAAAGGAGCTTACTATTAATTTAAAAAAAAGTATTTGTTATCGGTACAATCTGATATGAAAAGAATTTGTTTTAATGTGCTTGATTATAATTTTGAAGGTTTACTTCTCAATAAATTTATTAAGCATATATGAAATTTAGAAATACTTAAATAAGATAGCAAATTACATCAAAGTTTTAATTGAACTATCAATTCTGTTAATTGTAATAATTACTTGATGATTTTCATATAAGTTAAGGATGAAAATATAGAATAGTAAATGAATTAACATTATAGAAGTATTATGGACTTTAAAAGATTTAGAATTGATGATAGCAGTAAAAATTAAAATACATTACAAACCAATAATACCATTTTTTTCCAAAAGATAAAGCATATATGATAGAGATTAGTTATAATAAAATTAAAATTAAATTACAATTCAAAAATAAATTATTATTTAAAGCCATAAATAGTTTAATCAGTTTAAATTGATATAAGGATTTTTGGAATTGGTCTGAAGAATAGAATTCTCAAGCTTCTTTAAAAAGCAATAAAACATAGAGCACAATNAAGCTGCTGGAAATCCAAATATATTTCCTTAATTAATTTGATTTTGTAATTTAATAATTGCTGGTTTTTCTATATTTATTTTCAAATTATATTTAGGGGTTATAATTAATAATTTTTTAATAGTTTTACTGTTAGTGTTTTGCTATAAAATAAAAACTAAATCGGTTGCCTATAAATAATCTTCTATCTTGCTTTTAAATTGTTATTTAATATCATTTACCATTTGATAAAAATTATATCTGTGTTTTTATCCTTACAATAGAATTTCAAGATTTTAATGAAAAATAAGATATTTATATAGCTCCTTCAAGTTTAACTTCTTTAATAAACTTTTCAAAATTTTAGATATTGTTGGAGAAATCAAATTGATGATATAATCCAGTTTTAGGTTTCTATTCTTTATCATAATATGCAATCGAAGAAAGAATTATATCTCTATTAGTCTAAAATTTGATAGCCTTTAAGTATTTTTAAGCTAAACATATTACTTGCTCAACATATGGTTACATAGATCTAAATAATCATTTATTAAATTTATACTATGTAAAATCAACAACGTAACAAATATCTAACTTTCCGCATTCATCTAAAGAAACTTATGTTTTCTTCATCATTATTTCTTTGATCATCTTGTTCTCTATCCTTTATTACTCTTTTATCGCCTTTTATCTTTTAATTTCCTAATATTCTTATTCTTTCTATTTTTAAACTTTTTGAATTTCTTATTCATTTTTTTGCAAATTTTATTATATTTCATTTTTTAATTATCTTAACTCTTATTCTAATTTTGATGTATTTTGATCCTTATCTTAGATTTTCTTTTCCCATTTAGTTTGAGCTTCTTTATATAAGTATTCATATTATTATTTCTTTGTTTAAAGTACTTTTTGAATATTATTTTTCATTAAAAAAGTCACTTCTTTATTGATTTACTTTTGAAAATCATCATTTTTTAAATTAAGTAAAGTATTAGAATTGAATTTTTGTAAATCCGATGATAATTACTTAGGCTATATCTACTTGAAATTAAAGTTCTCATTCAGAATTTGATCAAGTTATGCATCAATTCTATGGAATGAGGACTATTTATATCGATTAAATAATGTTTTTTACATCTAATGCTAATTCAAAATTTTTTATAATTGCATTTGCTTTCTTTTTGTATTATTTTCTTAAAGCTTTTTCTGAAAAAGTTTTCATTTGAATATTAAAAGAATTTTTATTTCTATTAATACTTAGTATATAATTAATAAATGTGCTCATTAAAATTTTATTACAAAATGATATAAATAAGGATCTATTGTTTAACAATTTGATTTATGATTTAACTAGAATAAAGAATTAACTAACATTTGAAATCTCTTTTTGAATTGAGGATTTACAGTTTCAAAAACTTTACTATTACTAATATGCTACAAAAAGGAGCTTACTATTAATTTAAAAAAAAGTATTTGTTATCGGTACAATCTGATATGAAAAGAATTTGTTTTAATGTGCTTGATTATAATTTTGAAGGTTTACTTCTCAATAAATTTATTAAGCATATATGAAATTTAGAAATACTTAAATAAGATAGCAAATTACATCAAAGTTTTAATTGAACTATCAATTCTGTTAATTGTAATAATTATGATGAAAAAAAAATGAGAACAATTTATACTTGATGATTTTCATATAAGTTAAGGATGAAAATATAGAATAGTAAATGAATTAACATTATAGAAGTATTATGGACTTTAAAAGATTTAGAATTGATGATAGCAGTAAAAATTAAAATACATTACAAACCAATAATACCATTTTTTTCCAAAAGATAAAGCATATATGATAGAGATTAGTTATAATAAAATTAAAATTAAATTACAATTCAAAAATAAATTATTATTTAAAGCCATAAATAGTTTAATCAGTTTAAATTGATATAAGGATTTTTGGAATTGGTCTGAAGAATAGAATTCTCAAGCTTCTTTAAAAAGCAATAAAACATAGAGCACAATTCTACTAAACAATGTGATCATTCATTATGAAACTATAATATCGATTTAGATCTCTGAAAGGACCTATCTTGATTTCACCTGGATTTTAAAGTTGATCAGGCTAAACAAAGGATTTGATTTACTAATACAAGTACAAAAAGTATTGTTCCTAAAAGCAATTGTATAAAACATTCAAAATAACAATCAATAGAAACAAATGATATAGAATTTTTAGAATATGAGATTTTTAAATAAAGAAAATAGAAACTATTTTATAATGAGTTATGAATAAATAGTAAGAAGAATACATTATAATTTTTCATCTTATCATCTAAGGTAGTAATACAGTATTGATTGGTTAAGCTTATTCTTTTCTTGGGAAAGCATTCCAAAATCTCAAAGTCTCATCTCCAGCTCCAGTCACTATAGTTTCTCCATCTGGTGACATTGCCAAAAATAGGACTCTAGAAGTATGACCCATTAAAGTGGTAACCTAGAATTTGAATATCAAATACTTTTTATAAAGCAGGATATTTCCAACAAACTATTTAATTCATACTATATCCATGAGTTGATACAAATTCATTTACATTTTTACTAAACATTAAATTACAAACTTATGAACCAGTATCAATCCAATCTAATTATTGAGTAGTTAGAGTATTGAAAAATCTAATAGTTCTATCTGCAGTTCCTCCACCTGATGATAATAAACCATGTCTATGTGGAGACCAAGCAATAGCTTTTACAGCAGCCTAATGTTAATTAAATTTAGCTAATGGTATTTATGAGCCCATTCTCCAAACAAATAATTTATTATCATTTCCTCCTGAAGCCAATTAATATTCATCTGGTGACCATTTTAATCCACAAACTTCTTATTTATGACCTTCAAATTTTCCAGTTTGTCTTTTTTATCTTGGATCATGTAAAATTATAGATCTATCTTTAGAACCTGAACATAAAGTCTAATTTATTATAATTAATTTACATTTGCACTCCAAGCCAAAGATCCAACTCTTGCAGAATGTCCTTCCAATATTTAAATTCTTTTCATCTTCTCTTAATCATATATATGCACTTCTCCTGAACCAGTTCCTATAGCCAATTAATTTCCTTAAGGATTCCATATTAATGAACAAACCATATCATTATTACCAAAATCACAAAACTTAGTTACTCTATTGTTATATGCTGACCACAAATAAACACATGAGGATAAAGCAACAGATAATACATTTTAAGAACTCCAATCTATTAGATTTAAATAGAAATCATCTTATAATTAAGGAGCATCCAATACTTTAAATGGTACTTTACTAATCTTTCTTTAACTGAATTAATAATCTTAACTATTTTAGTATTGTTCTCTATAATCTATTAAGTTTTAATAAGTTTCCAAAATAGCTGGATTTATGTCTGACAATATTTTTCGTTTTGAAGGAGTATTGTCAGCAAAATGCAATAAATTCTTTGATTCCCATTAAAGCTATTCACTTTATAATGGTTATCCGAACACATGCATCTTATAGATATCTTTCAGTGTAACATTTCCCTAGTCTTTGTAATCACTACCTTTTTATGGTTCTTAATTCTCTTCTTCAATCTCTCTATATTGAAATTCTTCATTCAAACTCTATTTCTATCCACTTCTCAATGGAATATACCTACAGGTTTTTCCTTATTACATTTATTTCTTAGGGGTACTATCTTATTCCTATTCAATTTAGTCTATAGATTTAATAATTATACTACCTCCCTATTAAGTACTTTGAATATCCACCTTATGTAGTAATCTAACAAGATCACTCATGTCACATGTTTTAGATTTTGATAGATGTGAATTTTCTTTATTTTATTTTGAAGGTGAAATTTGTAATTTATCTTCAAAACATGATACTTCTATATCAATATTANTAAATAATAAATTTACATTTCCACTCCAAGCCAAAGATCCCACTCTTGCAGAATGTCCTTCCAATATTTATATTCTTTTCATTTTCTCTTAATCATATATATGAACTTCTCCTGAACCAGTTCCTATAGCCAATTGATTTCCTTATGGATTCCATATCAATGAACAAACCATATCATTATTACCAAAATCACAAAACTTAGTTACTCTATTATTATATGCTGACCATAAATAAACACATGAGGATAGAGCAACTGATAACACATTTTAAGAACTCCAATCTATAAGATTTAAATAGAAATCATCTTATAATTAAGGAGCATCCAATACTTTAAATGGTACTTTACTTATCTTTCTTTAACTGAATTAATAATCTTAACTATTTTAGTATTGTTCTCTATAATCCATTAAATTTTAATAAGTTTCCAAAATAGCTGGATTTATGTCTGACAATATTTTTCGTTTTGAAGGAGTATTGTCAGCAAAACATAATAAATTTTTTGATTCCCATTAAAGCTATTCACTTTATAATGGTTATCCAAACACATGCATCTTATAGATATCTTTCAATGTAACATTTCCCTAGTCTTTGTAATCACTACCTTTTTATGGCTCTTAATTCTCTTCTTCAATCTCTCGATATTGAAATTCTTCATTCAAACTCTACTTCTATCCACTTCTCAAAGGAATATATCTACAGGTTTTTCCTTATTATATTTATTTCTTAGGAGTACTATCTTATTCCTATTCAATTTAGTCTATTGATTAAATAATTATACTACCTCCTTATTAAGTACTTTGAATATCCACCTTATGTAGTAATCTAACAAGATCATTCATATCACAAGTTTTAGATTTTGATAGATATGAATTTTCTTTATTTTATTTTGATGGTGAAATTTGTAATTTATCTTCAAAACATGATACTTCAATATCAATATTACGCTATTAAAGCATTTTTACAGTATTCGTTGACATTTTTTTAAAATGGTATTAGCAAACAGATAATTAATTTAATTTACGTTAAATTTTATTTTTAATCACACTTAAAAAAGCGAAATAAATATTATTTATAAGTTTCTTGTTTAATCAACTCTTAATATCTAGTAATTAATTAATTATCACTATAAAATTGCACTAAAAAAATTACCTTATTTTTTATTATTTATTTATCGTTGAATTTTATGTGTCATCTATATAGTTATATGTTCATACTCATTATTCTTTTATTTAGATGTAAATTATACTTACATAATCCTATGTAGACAATAATGAAGTTGGAATTTGAGAAATAGTAATTAAGATATTTAATAATAATCTCTTTATTTGTTAGATACTGTAATGCACATATTATTATTATATATCCACTATTCTCTACAAAAATATATTTTTAAATAAAGGAGAGCATAAAGATATTAGTAAAATAAAGGAGAGCATAAAAATATTAGTAAAATAATTTTGTCAAAGAAATTATTAATTCTAATTGATTATTAAGTTTTAAGAATTTACAAGATCTTTTTATTAAGAATTCTAAAATAATTCTTATTTTTTAATCTCATGAATTAATTTTTTCTTTTAAAATAATTAACACATATAAAATAAATCAGGATAAGTTATTTTTATACATTAAATTTTTAATATATCTTTCCATTCCTTCATCCAATAATAACATCTTTATAGGAATAAATGAAATAAACTTTTTACTAATTTCAAACATCCTAGCCAATCTATTAAAAATGATAACTTTCGAAAATAATATCAACACTCCCAAAAGAGATAGCAAACTAATACCTGCTATCTATTTATATTTTTATTATAATATTTTACATTCATTAATTTCATTAGCTATTATGTTTATATATGCATATCATGCCTCATATTTGAATACAAATTGCTTACAATACCAGAAATTATATATGGACCTTCTAAATCATAAATTTAAACAGAAGTTCTTTTCTAAAATTAATTATAATTCAATTCAGATTTTAAACTATTAGTTATAATAGTCAAAGTAGATAATAAACCATTCTTCATATTACCATTGAATAATAATTGACAAAATGAACTAGTTTATTATTATAATTCATCTGATAACAAACTACACAAATCTCCTGTAGCTAATGAATCATAGTACTCCTAAAATTCATCTGACAATATAACTCTTGAAATATATAAATTATATACTTGTCATAAATGAATTATTTCTCTAAAAATTGCTTAGTTCTATTCAATCCCTAATCAATTACCTATAACAATTATGAAATAGTATCATTATTCAAATATGGAAATGAAGTTCTGAAATACAATACCTCCCTTGCTGAATACATTGAAGAGATATCTATACTTAAATCTGATAATGCCTTATAAAAGCTAGCTACCTCTTTATATCCTTATAAATATTCTCTATTTAAATAAAATGAAATTCCAGACTTCAAAAGAATTAAAATATATAACACTAAATAGCCAAACTTCCAACGTAAACCTTTAAATTTTAATCTATTTTAAACTTTGACTCTTTGATAACTTTGTTTCTATNGTTATATGTTCATACTCATTATTCTTTTATTTAGATGTAAATTATACTTACATAATCCTATGTAGACAATAATGAAGTTGGAATTTGAGAAATAGTAATTAAGATATTTAATAATAATCTCTTTATTTGTTAGATACTGTAATGCACATATTATTATTATATATCCACTATTCTCTACAAAAATATATTTTTAAATAAAGGAGAGCATAAAGATATTAGTAAAATAAAGGAGAGCATAAAAATATTAGTAAAATAATTTTGTCAAAGAAATTATTAATTCTAATTGATTATTAAGTTTTAAGAATTTACAAGATCTTTTTATTAAGAATTCTAAAATAATTCTTATTTTTTAATCTCATGAATTAATTTTTTCTTTTAAAATAATTAACACATATAAAATAAATCAGGATAAGTTATTTTTATACATTAAATTTTTAATATATCTTTCCATTCCTTCATCCAATAATAACATCTTTATAGGAATAAATGAAATAAACTTTTTACTAATTTCAAACATCCTAGCCAATCTATTAAAAATGATAACTTTCGAAAATAATATCAACACTCCCAAAAGAGATAGCAAACTAATACCTGCTATCTATTTATATTTTTATTATAATATTTTACATTCATTAATTTCATTAGCTATTATGTTTATATATGCATATCATGCCTCATATTTGAATACAAATTGCTTACAATACCAGAAATTATATATGGACCTTCTAAATCATAAATTTAAACAGAAGTTCTTTTCTAAAATTAATTATAATTCAATTCAGATTTTAAACTATTAGTTATAATAGTCAAAGTAGATAATAAACCATTCTTCATATTACCATTGAATAATAATTGACAAAATGAACTAGTTTATTATTATAATTCATCTGATAACAAACTACACAAATCTCCTGTAGCTAATGAATCATAGTACTCCTAAAATTCATCTGACAATATAACTCTTGAAATATATAAATTATATACTTGTCATAAATGAATTATTTCTCTAAAAATTGCTTAGTTCTATTCAATCCCTAATCAATTACCTATAACAATTATGAAATAGTATCATTATTCAAATATGGAAATGAAGTTCTGAAATACAATACCTCCCTTGCTGAATACATTGAAGAGATATCTATACTTAAATCTGATAATGCCTTATAAAAGCTAGCTACCTCTTTATATCCTTATAAATATTCTCTATTTAAATAAAATGAAATTCCAGACTTCAAAAGAATTAAAATATATAACACTAAATAGCCAAACTTCCAACGTAAACCTTTAAATTTTAATCTATTTTAAACTTTGACTCTTTGATAACTTTGTTTCTATTTTGTTTTATCAAAACTTTATTCATTATATTTATATCTTACAATATATTCATAATCATCATTTATCTATGAGATTAATTATTTATATTATAAAATTTGTATTTCTCTCATCCCTTAAGGCAATTATAATATGATATTATAATATCTACTAATTTAATTGGCTATTCCAATAAAATAATAATAACTTAAAAGATAAGGAAATGTAAGAGCCACAATACTAACAATAAGTAGAACTATTATTATTTAGATATCATCTTCCACAACAATCATTGTATCTTCCAATATAACTTTATGTAAATCTGTAACTATTTATTTTAAAGGCATATAATTTTTAAATGTAAAGTAAATATGTGCAGTATCAGCATTTACTTTTCCATTCATTTTGAAATCTATCAATACATCATATTAAAACTTTAATAAGGTTCCAAAGGCATTTCTTAAAGTCATACTATAACTTTCTTCCTTTGAACTATTAGTGTATTAATAAATTTCAAGTTGATTATCATCTAATATATGTTGTAGCAATGGTTATTAAAATAGTAAATTGAAATTTTAATATATTTAATTGTAACCAATCTAAATTTAAGATGATGGAAATTGAACAAACTAAATAAATTGTTAATAAGTAATTATTTTCATAAGAAAATATAAGTTATATTCACTTAAAGAAAATATTACTAATAAAGTGTTTTCTATAAGTTAAAAACAAAGTTAAGAAAAGTCTAATACTTCTAAATCATTCATAAGTTGACTAATATCTGAATTAACTTTAATAGTTTGTAACAAAAAAAATGCAAATGTTACAAACAAGCTTAATAAAAAAGCTATTATAAATTTATTTAAAATAGAGAGTTTTTAATCATAATATTCTGATAGGAAATCTTTGGATCTTGAATTATAAGAGTTTTCTGTAATTTTTATGAAAAATTATTCATCTTAATCAATATTTAATGATTATTATTTTCGTAATCTTGAAGCATATGTTTACTTTCTTATAAGTCTTAAATTTTATTATTTCTTGTTATCAGGACTATAGATATTTGTATTATCATCCATCTATTAAAATTCATTTAAATAATTTAAATATTATTAATTTAAATCATTTTCTTCATAAGGAACATCAATTTATTCTTCTTATGCAATATTACCTTATAATAAAAAGTCAAAATCTGATCTAGTTTTATATTCTTAAATGGGTTCAAGAATACTTTATTAGTATGTAAATTATGAAAAGCTTTTCTATTTAGAATTAGATTTTCTAATATATTAAAAAGTTAAAATATAATAAACAGGTTGATTGTTTATATACTTTATCTACTAATTAATAGTGGTTACATAAGGAAATTCTTAGTCTTAGTCTGTTAAAATTAATTCTAAATTTTCTTGATAACTTTCAGTTTCTGAATATAAAGGTAAAAATTTCTTGATATTATAACCAATACGTTTAAAATCAAATTGAGAGATTTTTAAAGTATTAGATAAAGATTCACTTAAACAAGTTATTTACAATTAAGAATTCAATATCATTGCCATAGGTTATTCTATTGAAACTTATATAAAGGTTATAAATTTTAATTCATCTGTTATAATTGCATTAAATCCAAAATCTATCGATGTCATATATATATCATTATCTTTTGCAATAAAACTTGCTTCAAATCGTTTAACATATTTAGAGATTCCAGTTTCTATAAATTATTCAATAATTGAATTGTGATGTTCTCTAACACCTGGAGGAATGTAAACTTCAATTCCTAAGGATGAATCTTTAAAGAAAATATTATTGTTAGAAATGCCTGATATTTTAATTCCTTAATCATATTTTGAAATTAGATATGCTAATTTATTAAGATCATAAGTATCATACTGAATAGGATTAGTCTAATGAGATAGAAATCTTGCTTAATGAAAGTTATTCATTATCTCTGCATAAAAGAATAATAATATAGCCTTATTTTTTACTGTTGAATGATCTTAATATAATGAATTTAGAATTTTTTCAATATATTCTAGTTTATCTAAATAGTCATAATAAATATCAAAGTTTTCTTCTTATATATTCTATAATAATTGCAATTTTTATAACATTAGATTTTTTAATTCTTTGATATAATAATATGATGTTTCTTCAATTTAAATGACTTTATTAATTGAATCTACAAAAGACTGTTGAGTTGATTAATTGGCAAATATTATAGTTTTAATTAAATTTAAACATTTTAATTTCATTCTTTCTTTTTTTATCTCATAGTAAATGTTCAAATTTTTCATCTCTTAAAGTTAACATAAAGCTTTTTAATATTATTTATTATTTATCAATATTGATATTTAAATAATAACATTATCTATTCTTTTATTATTTTTACAATTTTATAATTCTATTTTTTTTTTTCTTTATTCTCTATATTGTGTAATCCTTAATAAAACAGGAAAAATAACTAACAAAGAAGAGAAATTACTTGCAATACCTAAGATTATTGTAAAAGTATGTATAATTGTGTATAATTGAATAGAGGCAATAATAAAGTTATTAGCAAAGACTAATTATAGTGAGGATTGTAATAATCCAATCAAATTTAATGTTATTATATTCTAATTATAATACCATAACAATGATTAAATGATTTATATAATCCATATAAGATAGACTGGATATAATATTTTAGTTTAATGGAAATTCTTATTATCCACATCTAATGTTTCTAATAAGAATAATTGATTGAGCCCTGATATCATAATTAGACTTGGTTACAATATAAAGCAAATTGGAGATGATGATATTTCCATTCCAAAATTTAATAAATTAGTCACCATCAATCCACCATATAATGAAATAAGCCTTCTACCAGGTATATTAAAAAAAATCCCTATAACATACAAAATATTTGCGCTAAGAAAAATATATCCAATAATAGTAGAGTTTATATATAATTATGGTCTAGCAAATAAAGATACTATATATATGTATTTATGTTGTTCTAAAGGTTGTAAATATGATAAATTTAGCAAAGCTCCAAGAATTTAAATAAATAATACCATTTTATCTGATAATTTAATAGATAAGTCATCTAACTCAATTAATTTTTGATACATTTACTTTATTAGTAAAGAAAGTCCTTTGTTCATAAATCTAAATATATAGATAATTAAATAATAATCATTTTAGATAAAATATAATAATAAGAATATTTCTTAACATATTTAAGTTATTAAACATTATAAATTAATCAAATATCATTTTACTATTATTAGAATTCCTATAAATTTTTCCAAATTGAAATTATATCATTTACTTTTCATTCAATTTTTTATATATAAAATTTTTAATTTATCTCTATATATTTGTCGAACTGTTTCAACTTTTTATTACTACTTCACTATTTTCTTTAATAGTTTCTATTGTTATTTTCAGTTCTTGTGTTGATATTAGAACTTTTGTTATTAAAATAAGATATATATTTATAATATCAAATGAATTATTTAAATATTAAGGAATATTGCAATATATTATTTAGATTATTGAATTTTCATTTTAATCATTTTAATAAACAAAATATTATAAAAATAAATGATGAATGAAGGAATATATAGACACTTTACTCAATATTTTTAAGCTGTTTAAATTGAGTCAAAATGTTTCTTTTAGAATTATTGTTTTAGCATTTCTTTCAAAACCATC